AAATAACATGGTCCAAACAACAAACTTATTTCTGCACCCGCTAAAATTTTTATAACTAGTTTTATAGTTTCCTTTGCTTCACATTTTAGCAGATATTGTTTTATCCTTGGCCTGTATTAGGATCTATTTCACCTAAATCTATAGTTGTCAACAGTCTTACATCAATTCTTCTTGTAGACCACAATGCATTTGGAATATCTTTGAAATCATTTTCATCAAATTGTGATAGCAAAGAATGCTGAGTTATTATAACACATGCTAAATCTTGAACTTGGGGTTTTACATTGAACAGAATTGTATAAGGCTGTTTCCATAGTTCTGTGTTAGGGCTGGTTTGTGTGGTGCGGACATAGATAGAAATCAGATGCGCCATCTGCAGCTTCTAAACACAGGCCTGTGTCTCTCCACTGTGCTTCACTAGCAGTACATTCCTTACATCTGTGTAGAAAGCATAACAGTAACTGCCGCTAACGAACCCCCATCTGTGTTCATAATTTGTGTAGCCATTATAGTAATGTCTTGTTTCAGAAACTGTTTTGCAAACTTTTCACGTGGGGTTAAGCACAAATTCATAGTGTTCTACTGTTAAACTAACAGACTTTCATCCAGTTGATCTGACAATGTTCTTCTAGCATAGTGCATATAAACACAAGTAGATTTTGTTGAAATGCTATTTATATGTTCTCCACATTCAGCCTTCATGCCACCCTGTTTGGGAAAAATTGCTTAATTTTCCCATCAATTCCCATCCTTACAAATTAATGTGGTGAGTTGGTGATATTACTACAAAAACATGCAACCTTGCAATCTTTTTCCTAATCCTTTGACATCCACTACTAGGATGTTTGACCATTTGCTGATTTTACAAAAATTAGCATTTTAGATGGTTTTAGTCCTACATTATCTTTAATGTAAATTTTACAGGCTCCTGAATTGCATATAAGTCTAACTGATTGTCTAATAATTGTTAGAACTATTCATGTTTTTTCCTTTAATGCATTTAATATCCCCCATGCTTCATACACATCTACTATTTTAATGGCTCCCCCATTTGGTCAAACACCTATTCACATTCAGATGAAAAACTTCCCCTGTGGACTCTTTCTTCCTGGTCTGCTTTTACTAGTCTGGGCTGAAAGCCCCCTTAGAAGTTCTAGAACCGCCCCTGCATCCTTGATGCCTTTTGAAATTTCACATGTTTATGTTAGTGCAACAATCTCTGCAGTTTACACAGAATATGATGATTTTAAGGCAGCACTGCAAAGGTTTTTTTTTTTAACTCATCTACAATTGTAAAAACAACTAATTTCATCCACATACAAATTTTATAACCCCTCCTATGGTTCATCTTTTCCCTTGGGTGGTTAGATCCAGGAAGTAAAATGTTTTCGGGGATGAGCCTGAACGTATCACAGGTGTGTCAGCTGCATCTCTGGAGTAACTTCCCCCTGCAGCATGTACATCTTTTTACTACTACCCCTTGAATGTTTAAATGCCAGTATGGTTGTTCTGATGTGTTTAAAAAAGAAAGGACAATTTGCTGTAGGTCCAGGACCTCTGCCGGGTCCACAATTAACTGCAATTTTTGCTGGTGCACATGACTCCTGGCGTCAGTGCTGGTCATAACATTGGTGACGGGGAGGGTCACTCTGCAGGGATCTGGACATTCTCGAGCAAAGTGGCCCTAGGAAGTCCTAGGAACAGCTAAGATACTGCGCAGAACCCTCAAACTCCCAGGCCTTTGGTAGAGGACCTCACCTTGAGGATGACACATACCACGAGGGGTGAGAAAACAGTTTTATATATATATATAGCTTCACCCCACCCTGTACTACCAGCTGCCTATCAGTAATACAGTGAATAAAAAGAGATCATTGCTCATGAGGCATCATCTCACCATCACTGCTGACAAATGTGGGAACAGAAAGTGTCCTGGCCTCTCAGGAGAACTGACTTGTTGTGGGAAACTCCACCAGCTTCTCCTTTTAACCTGTTTAGATGTGGGGCTTCAGTGAAACTCTGAGGTACTACCCGTATGATAAGCATAAATTGTATTTATTGACCTTTATTTATCACACACATCATGATCTGATCATTATGTTTAGTCTGCATGAAAACAGAGATTTTGAATTTCAGATCAAGTTTTAGACCAGATCGGGGATATTTTGCGCATGTTAACGTAGCTAATGTTGTTTGAGCCTTCCTCTGTTTTGGGGAGGCTTCTTATGTTGTAACTAGAAGACAAACCATTGTAAGCATTTCAGGAGCGATAACATAGCTTATGATTATCTGATTTTTTTAAATCTTTTATATACCCTTTGTAATTTTTTGTACTGTGGTTTTGTTCAGGAACCATGGCCTTACGAATGGTATGCCTCATAATAATTTAGTCCTCCACTGTTAACCACTGGCTTATTAGTGATTATATATGTCATAGTTTTGTCTTGACAAACTGGTCTGCCTCAAAGTCTGCCTGCAAGATGATGTGTCAGTTTTAATGTATTCATACAATTTTTTAGGTAATACAAATTTTCCTCTCCACTGTCGCTACAAGCATGCTTAGTGTGAGGGATTGCTGAAGAGTCAATGAGTCGATGCAATCAGCTGGTTTTCCTTAGATAGAAAACTTTGAATCAATCTGACTGGATGATCTGCTGAACTGGAAAGTGACCTGAGATGACATGATGTGAATTGGAGCTATAGAAATAAACTGAATTAAATGAATATATCTGTTTGATAGGTTGTATATGTATGTAGCATTCATTCCTTATATAAATTCCTTCCGTTGAAATTTTCTTTTACAATAAATTTTTTTCTCCTGAGTGTAGCCAACCAACCTGTTCTTCTTTTAGGATTAGATGAAAAGTCATACATTTAAATTCTTTTCTCTGGGCAGTTGGGTAATCTCAAGGCAATGCAGTAAACCATGCTAAAGTACAGAAAAATAGACAGCAGATCTTAAATATCCAATCATGCTTTCTGTTTCTACCTAGCGTTAAGTAATAATAATAATAATAATAATAATAAAGAAAATGTGTGTGATAATAAAACAGTTTATTGGTAACATACACAGTTACAGAGGCTCAAAGGTATACCTGTAAGTAATGGTAAGACAACCCAAGTTTATCATGAAGCAACTTTAGTAACAGTTCAAAGTGTTGTACATTAAAAAAACAGAAACAACCGTAGGAAATTGCATTGACTTAGACTTTTAGACTTAGGTAGACTTTGTTTTCAGTTTGTACCCCTAGAATGTATACAACAAGAAATTTAATTCAGTAGATACAAATTTCAATGTTATAGCGTGATTAGTAGAACTGAATAAAACTTAGTAGCCATGGAACGATATGAGCATGAATAAGTGATCAAATTATCTGCAATTCAAAATGGTACAAAACAACAGAAAAAAAAATCATTATCTAAAAGGAAAATTAGGAAAGCATCTATGAAGGTTTCCCTCAGGCCAACTTTGCTGCAGGCACCCTAAATATCTTATTTTTTTTCTTTTTCACCAACCCAACCCATTCAAAAATCTTTTCTACATAGCATTCTTATTATTATTTGTATGAGAAAATGGCATCATTAACATATAAGAAGGTCGTTATACATTATACACTCAATATACAATACAATATACAAAAGTCCCAAAAACTTAAAACTTTGACCTTTACAGTAAATAGAGTTTGGTTGTCCTCATTCTGCAGGATGTAGGATTAAAATCCATCACACAATAAGAAATATCTCATTTCCAAACCAAGGATGTCAGATTGAACACAACATTTGGGGCTGGAGCTTTGCCCAAAACCAACCAACCAATCAACTGAGGTAACAGGGATAGATTTTTCATCAAAAAGTTTCCGATTAGTTTTCAAGATCAGTGGTCATGGTAGTCTGTATCTTTGAAGCAGACATTGACATCCATCAATTTTCCCAGTTTACCATAAATACTGCTTTTTAGCATAAAGCTGGAGTAGTTGCTCTGTCAAATTTCCATATTGTCAATTAATCTCAGAAAAAGAAGAGCTAACAGTAAGAGATAAACTTCCAAATATGGCTTAACATCCTCCTGAATCGTCTTACCTTAGAAATAATCTGTAGAACCACAAGAGGCTGCTCGCTCTTCATGGCCTACTCTAAGTTATAGTACAGTGACAGTGACCCCTTGACTGATTGTGAAAAATCTTGCTGAAACAATGAACTCGGTGTTGAACAATGAACAGTGTTCTTACAATTAAAAAAAAACAATAAAACAAAAAATGATTAACAGTAACAGATAATGTTTCTCAATGTGATTAAGAAAACACTTTTTCTATTAAACAAAACATCCTGATATTCTGACTGGAAGGTGCATCAGGAAGAGGTTGAATAAGAAAAAGGTTGAATTCATGAGTCTAAAAACAAGTTTCTGATTGAAGTAATTTCCCTCTGGGATTAAAGTATTTCTGATTCTGATTCTAAGCGACTGACACACAAAGAATAAACTGGAGAAAGATCAATACACTGGCTGAGATTTTTGCCCGATATTATATATTGGTCTCTTGTAAACATTAGAAAAGCAAACATTATCGGCCCCAAAGTATTGGCGGCACATATATCACGTTGGGTGAGAGTGATTTCAGAGTATTCAGAATATGCGCCTTAATAAACTGCATCAGTCGATCTCTAGACTGAACTATCTAGTCAACAACAAGAGGTTGTTGACCATGAGACAACTTTTCACATTGAACTGAGCACAAAGACATCATGGAACCAGAACTGAACCCAAACCCAGGATACAGAGGTTCAGTGAATGTGGTGTAGAAGGTGTGGAGGTGGATCAGTGATTTAGAGACTCTGTAGAAGGACAGAATGCCAGCAGGACAGTCCACATAGACTGCTACTCTGTTGGAGGTAGAGGAGGAGGAGGAGGAGGAGGAGGAGGAGGAGGAGGGGGAGATCGAGGAGGTTGACCAGGACAACCAGGAGGTGGAGGAGGAGGATGAGGAGGAGGAGGAGGAGAACCAGGAGGTGGAGGAGAAGGAGGAGGAGGAGGAGGAGGGAGAGGAGGAAAGGATAACCTGTCCCTTATTCTCAAAGACAGAGTAACCATCCTCAGAGCATCTCAAACTCCATGACTGATCATTCCTTCCAAACCTGCCGTCTCTACTCTTTCCTTTCCTCATAATTTTTTTGTAACTCACTGATATTTCAACTCTTCCTTTCCACTCAACCTCCCAGTAACAGCGACCAGTCAGACCAGTTCTACACAGCAGCTGAGGCCAGTTATCAAATCTGTCTGGATGATCAGGATAGGACTGAAGCTCCTCCCCATAGATCACCTTCCTGTTGTCCTCAGACAGTTGTAGTCTTCTGTTCACTGTGTTTGGGTCGATGTCGATCTGACAGGAATCTGATGGAAAGAAAAAAACACAATCACACTTTGATAAGGAATCCTGAATGATTGATGTACAGTTTGAAGGTGGTTTAATGTGAGCAGCTTTGCTGTCAGGATTCCACTGAAAAACACACTTACACTTCCCCAGACCTGGTGTCAACCATTGTTCTCCAGCAGGCTCCACCCTGAAAGGAGGAGGAGGTCAGATCATCAGTCTCTGTCAGCTTGCAGGCATGGATGTAACATATCTCTGAGACACACATTGTCCTACACAGAGAAAGGTAACAGTCCAACAGTTGGACGCGTCCCCTTGTTGGAAACATCCACAGTTTTCCAATCATTTTCCTTTGAGCCTTTATTAGTGAGAAGAATCTTCCAGATAACTCCGTCATGATCTCTGCTCACAGATGAGGCATCCAATAAATCCTATTTCACCAACATTTGAAATATTCCTGGACACTTGTGTTAAATCATAGACGGATCCATTTCCTGTATCAACATCTGTAGTTGTTTCTTTTCAATCGTTCAAACTAAATCAGGTCCCCTGAATGTTCTTCTATTATTTCTCTATTTACACCTGCTTTGGTTCCATCCCATAATATTTAATGGGCCATTAAAAGCACCACATATTACCAATGATATAGCCCTTTACTCAGCTGGTAAATTTGAATACATTTATTTCGAGAGCAATAAGTCATAATTATGTGAATGCAGTCAGAGATTTACTGAGAGGAAGGTACTGTTTACTTTCAGACCGACTCAAAGTCAGAGAAGTAATTCCTCCTCTTCCTCCTCTATCAGACCTTCTCTGCACCTGCAGCAGGTTCCTCCATACCTGAGATCTTCCAGACCCCACCCTGGATCCTTCAGTCCAGCCGACAGCAGCTTCACTCCTGACTCTCCTGGATGATTGTAGCTCAGGTCCAACTCTTTCAGATGGGAGGGGTTGGAGCTCAGAGCTGAGGCCAGAGAAGCACAACCTTCCTCTGAGATCAGACAGCCTGACAACCTGTAGACACACAGTTTAACACATGATAAGAAAGTTAAGGAATGACGGAGTAGAAACTCTAAACTCACAAAATGTCGCTAACAGATTAAATTATTTTGGATATGAGAACAAAAATGCATAGATAGTACTGTTTATATAGAGATACAGAATCAAAATAAAATAGCCATTCAGTCTAAAAATGTGTCATGAAAACCTTCCAATGGCACTAAACTTCTAGCATCAAGCCGTGGCATCTACCCACTCAAAGTGCACATGCACACTAAGGTCAGCTTGCCACACTCAGAATAACTTGATCCTGTGTTTACGTGCATGCCTGTCTGATTGTCAGTAGGCATAAATCAACCCTGTCAGCTGGTTAAACTAAACTATGAATGAAACATATTGTTCTATTTAATGAAAACACTCAGACAAACTCAGACCAAGATGGTTGACATGTAAACATAGTTTGGTGGGGGGCCGGGGCGGCGGAGCTGCTCTGGCCGCGTGTCAGGGCCTGGTGCGGGCTGCAGGGGGGGCGGCGGACGTGGCTGGGCTGCTTTGGCTTTGGGGTGGTTGCGCCGGCTGCGGTCTGCTCTTCTTGCGGTTTTGCGCCGGGCGGCTTTTCTGCTCTCGGGCTGATTCTGTGCGCGGTGTGTTTCGTTGCGCGCTGTTGGCGTCGGTCTTGGTGGGGTGGGGCTGCGCTTTTGGCCGGGGGGGCGTTTTGGGGGGGTCCCGCGGCGCTCGTGGCCGGTTCGCGGCGGATGCGCATGGGCCCCGGCCGGGGGCGGGGCCGCCTGAGTGTTTTCCTGGGTGGTGCGGTCGCGGTGGGTGTTGCGGCCGGTCGCCGGGGCTTGGTGCGGGGGGGGCGGGGCGTGTTTCGGTGCTCTGTGGGGCTGGGGCGTTTCGGTCGGCGCTGTGGGGGGGCTGGTGTTCGGTGCCCGGCCCTACTTCGGGGTGGCCGGCTGCCGGCGGGGCCCGCAGACTCGTCCCCGCGGCTCCCCGGGGGGGCCGGCATGGCGGTGGCTGGGGGGCTTCCTCGTGGCTGTCTCTCCTCCTGCCTTGGTGGGGTCTGGTTTCCGGGGCTGGCCCCGCCTTGGTGCCTTCGCTTCTGGGGTCCCCTTGGGCGCCTGGGGCTTTGGGTCTCCCGGCGCTGGACTCAGTGCTCTGGGGGGTGTGCCTCTCCGGCTCTCCACAACCACTATTGAGCATTTTTTTTTCTATGGTTAAAACTTTACATGCACAAGTTCACCCTCACAAACAACTACAGGTGCTAGGCTTCAGGTACTTAGAGATTCACTTCCAAACAGAAACCCCACATTCATATCTTCAGGTAACACAGAGTACATGTCAGACTTAATAATATTACTTTAGCGATAGTTTCAAGGTGTTTGCTTTATTGTATATCTCGTACCATGTTTTTTTGGTTGTGCTGTTCTTTTTCCATCTTTTTTTTTTTTCTCTTTCTCCATCTCATTACAGGTGTCGAAGCAGACTGAAAATGTTTTGTCATTGTCTCCTTCCTATCTCCTCTTTCTTTCATCTTTTGTCCTGTTTTTTTCTTTTTCTTTTTCCTTCTTCTTCTTCTGTTTTTCTGCTCTACTTACATTGCAGTGTCCATATGAACTGTAAAACTCCCTGCATAATTATAATAAAGCAATTTATATACATGAAACAAGTGGAGCAGTATGGCAATTGCGATACCGCTACACTTGTGAAAGTAAAATCTGTTGGGCTCCTTTTGGCATCAAGACAATTATTCTTATTGCCACCTTGCCAGACAGGACACTGTAAAAAAAAAAAAAAAAAAAAAAAAAGACATGTAAACATAGTTTCCCATTTGCCTTTTTTAATTACCAGATGAACCAAAGTCAAAGCTTTTCATGTTAATGTCTAATGTATTTCTACAGAACTGGACTACCTGCTATGTTTCATTTAAATATTTATATATTTTTTTTTACGTTAACACTTTGATGTCTGAACTAGTTTCAACATTTCGACTGGCAAGTTTACATGTTATAGCTTTAGTCCAGAGGTCACTGATTAGTGGACCGCGGTCTGGATCTGGACCCAACCTGATTTAAAAAATTTATAAATTACCGCATGTTGTCCGACTACAGTGTCTAACTTTACTTGCGCCACATCTCCTGTTAATACGGTAAAGCCCTGGGGAGCGTCCGGCTCCAGGCTGCACGTGATCCAAATGAGCCAATGAGCTGTCAGTCTGGGTTGCTGCTGCTGCTACTTTTAGACACAGCAGGCAAACCTGTGGCAAGCCGGGCGATGGGAAAGAAGGAGAAGACCATGAGAAAAAGAGAGCAGAAAAAAGTGTGGACTGCTGGAAGAACTGCGGTGAACTGGTGAAAGAAAAGTGAAATGGCGTGCTCAAAGATGACCCTGCACATTTAGAGGATGTTTGGCTCAACCTGCTGCTGTGAAGCAGGATTCTCCACCATGAACAGAATCAACAATAAATCTGGATCCAGGCTCAAATTGAGCACCTTGATATGTGCTTGAGAATGGCTTAGTCTCTGGTTAAACCCAGGTTTAAAGCCTTGCAGGGCAGCCTAAAGCCCACTGCCAACATTAAGACAGAAAAAACAAAGAAACGCTCAGTTCAGGTGTTTGACAAAATCTGGCAATCAGGAAATAGTCTATAAACCAAACTGAATAAATGTTGTTCTCTACTTCAAAACACACTTTAGATTTTAAAATGGAAAAATCTCTATTACAAGACTTGAAAACTGAGTTCCGTGTTTTTAGCAGTTTCTGGACCTCCCCATTCACGCAGGGCCGTTAGTTGGCCCGGGAGGTGATGTTTTTTTTTTATGCTGACTTACTCAATGAATTTCTTGATGTGGGCTGACACAGTCATGGCATACTCATCTATATGTATCCTGTTGTCATAGGTTGCTGCATCTTTAAACATGTTCCAGTCAGAGCATTCGAAACATTCCTGGGGTTTCTATATGGCCCCCTCAGACCACACTCTGATTTCTTCTTTTATTGGTTTAGTCCTGATTAGCTGGGGCCTGTATGTAGGAATTAGCATGACAGATTTGATGATCTTAAGATCTGATGACCCGATGTGGGGGCGGAGAGCTGTTGTTGCACCAAAATGTGCACTATTTATTTGCTGTTTTATATTAATTTTTACAGTCTGAAGTTAAGCGGGACAGGCTTATGTTTAAGATACTTATTCAGTAAATGTAGTTATTTTGTATAAAGTGAAAAATAATCTGTTTTCCATGTATTCATGTCACTCACAAATATACATCTAATTCAATGCAAATTTGAGTCAAATAGTGAAATAAAATCATTTCACACACAAACAGGGGTTAAAAAAAATCACCACGCCAGGAGAGGGAAAGGCAATCGGGTCATTTGGTATGCAAATGAGGTGTTACTTTTTTTTAAGGGAGTTGGCAAACCTTCTGTGATTAAACCTTAAAACCCTTGCTTGATCACGATGATGAATAAATAGTTTAAACCTAATGTTAATTTTTTATGTTGATTATTAGGAAAATTGTTTCTGATCATTTTTGTGGGCACTTACACCATAATTGCCTTTGTGAAGAGTTTCAATCAGGTTTTAGAGATCCCTATAGCACCAAAACAGCTGTGGTGAAAGTCACTAATGTTCAATGGTGGACAATTTAGGTCCAAAAACTAAAAACCCTTCAAGTTTTCCTTCTGTTAAATCCAAAATAGAATTTAAAATCCTCCTTCTCACATATAAAGCCTTAAATGGCCAAGCTCCATCTGATATCAGAGATCTGATTGTTCCTTATGTTCCTAACAGAGCACTTCACTCTCAATCTGCAGGTTTACTAGTGGTTCCTAGAATTTCTAAAAGTAGAATGGGAGGCAGATCTTTTAGTTCTCAGGCTCCTCTCCTGTGGAACCAACTACCAGTTTTAGTCCGTGAGGCAGACACCCTGTCTACTTTTAAGGCTAGGCTTAAAACTTTCCTTTTTGATAAAGCTTCTAGTTAGAGTGGCTCAGGTTATCCTGAGCTATCTCTATAGTGATGCTGCTATAGGCTTAGACTGCTGGAGGACATAGGGACCCCTTTTTCATCATTCTGCTTCATTCTATCTCTATTCTCCCACTCTGCAGAATCTGTTAGTTCAATCTCTAACGTTCTGCTCTCTCTGCTTTTTCTCATAGTAGCTTCATCTGGTCTGTTCCTGTTTGGCTGTGACTCCATCCTGGAGAGAAATATCAGCTGTGCTGCTGCCATCAACACCTTTGTTTATGATCTAAATCCTGTTAACTTAACCAGGTGATTAGCAAGGACTTAGCTAACTAGAAGTTTAAATGGTTGGAACTAATCTCTGTACAGGATTTACTTTCTGGACTTGGATTATCTACCTCTGCTAATGATATTCTCATGGCCTCAAATAATGGACTTGTGTCTGTACTCGATTTGCAAAATCTCAGTGCTGCAGTTGATTCAGTAAATTACAATAAATCAAAAGGAAATGAAAATTATTATTATGAAATGAATAACATGGTATGTAAACTTTTAATTTTGGGACACAATAAATACAATACTCCTGAGTTTCACCTTTCACCACTCTAAAATTGGTTAATTTCTCTCCTTTGTTTGAGATGGAAATATTTGGTTTATGTATCAACCAATCACAGCTCTTAGAAGACAGCCATGCTTCTCTGCTGGTCCAACTACACTTCAATAATAAAGGTTTCGTACTACCAAGAGGCACTCTCAGGAAGGAGCATTGAGAGACTGGCGATCTTTGTGAATCCAGGCCATAATTTCAACCTGATGAGATCATTTACCTGAGAGTTTCTATTTTGCAGTTTGGGCTCTCCAGTCCAGCAGATAGAAGCTTCACTCCTGAATCCTCCAGGTTGTTGTTACTCAGGTCCAGTTCTCTTAGACTGGAGGACTGGGAGCTGAGAACTGAGGACAGAGCTGCACAGCTTTCCTCTGAGAGGTTACAACCACTCAGCCTGAAGAGACAAGGAGAAAATCTGTTATGAACCATCATCATCCATCCATCCATCCATCCATCCATCCATCCATCCATCCATCCATCATCCATCCATCCATCCATCCATCCATCCATCCATCATCTATCCATCCATCCATCCATCCATCCATCCATCCATCCATCCATCCATCCATCCATCCATCATCCATCCATCCATCCATCCATCCATCCATCATCTATCCATCCATCCATCCATCCATCCATCCATCCATCCATCCATCATCTATCCATCCATCCATCCATCCATCCATCCATCCATCCATCTATCTGCTTGTCTGAGGGTCTCAGAGGGACTGATGCCTATTTGCAAAGGATAATGAACAATAGATCTACAACCAATGTTGATTTTGTTTTAATGAAGATGATGAAATCCAGCTATTGTAGTATCTAGGCTAGAGCTGTCTTTCTGGTAAATAATCTGGTAAAGAACTTTTTTTTCAACATAAAACTCACTCAAAGTAACTAAATCTCATATCGTAATGAGTAAAATGACACTAAGACTAATAATAGATTTCATGCTGAAGACTAAGACTAAATCTAAGATGGCTTTCAGAAACAATACTGTCTACAACAAGCATCTCCAAAGTGAGGTGCGGGGGCTATTTACGGTTCTAAGGATGATTCTGTGTGGCCCTCGACCACAATTCAAGGGTGGAATGAATTGGTTTATTAATAGAACTGGTAGTATAAATTTTACAATGCAATGCTTCCAAAAAGATTTTTAAAAATCAGATCTGTTAACAGCTAAAGTAAGCCACTACATAAAATATTTATTTTTTATCAGCAATGTTTTGCTTTAATTTGACTGGACTTGGGAGTCCCTGTTTGTGAAATTAGGCTGAGTAAAGCGAAAGTGAACCAAAATCTTTTCTTGTTGAAGATGAACTCAGAGAAAACAAGATCATGATGCTTGACCTGAAAACATTGTACGCTGCCACTTTTTTATTTTTTTGCAAGCCAAACCCAGGAAACCTTTTTTAAACTATGTTCATGCCTAGATGACTTGGAGGTTACTTGGAGGTTACCACTTTGCTTGTTTGACAACAATGCATTTAAGTTATTGAAGAGCATGTAAGAAAGAATAATGAAGACTTTTATGGCCCCCAAAGCAATTTTCTTACATTTCTGGGCTCCATGGCAAAACGTTTTGATACCCCTGATCTAAAATGTTTATCTCTTTTAAGTAACCAATATGTTTTACCATAAAGATGTATAGATTTCTCTTCTTTTATGCATCAAACTGTTACCTTTTTTAATTTCCTGTTTTTTATAATAAACTGAAACAACAAAAGTCTAAATTTATCTCAGGATAAGTAGATTTCTTATTATTAATAACAATGCAGTAACAATCAGTGTCCTTACAGAGCTTTGTTGGAGGCTTTAACAACTGGCAGCAGCCTCAGAAGAACCTCCTCTGATGCAAAATACTTCTTCAGGTCAAACACATCCAAATTTTCTCCAGATGACAATAAAATATAGACCAGAGCTGACCACTGATCAGAAGATAATTCATATTTAGAGAGACTTCCTGAACTCAGAGACTGTTGGATCTCCTGGACCAGAGAACGATCCTTCAGTTCATTCAGACAGTGGAACAGATTGATGCTTTTCTCTGCAGAAACATTCTCACTGATCTTATCTTTGATGTACTGAAGTGTTTCCTGATTGGTCTGGGAGCTACTTCCTGTCTGTGTCAGCAGACCTTTCAGGAGTCTCTGATTGGTCTGCAGTGAAAGTCCCAGGAGGAAGCGGAGGAACAAGTCCAGGTGTCCATTTGGACTCTGTAAGGCCTGGTCTACAGCGGTCTGATGGAGAGACTTTGGTTCATTCTGTTTAGATGTTTGTGTTTCTTCCATCAGGTTGATCCCAGAGTTGATGAAGGTCAGATGAACATGAAGAGCAGCCAGAAACTCCTGAAAGCTTAGGTGGACGAAGCAGAACACCTTCTCCTGGTACAGCCCTCTCTCCTCTATAAAGATCTGTGTGAACACTCCTGAGTAAACTGAGGCTGCTGTGATATCGATGCCACACTCTGTCAGGTCTGATTCATAGAAGACCAGGTTTCCTTTCTTTAACTGATCAAAAGCCAGTTTCCCCAGAGACTCAATCATCTTCCTGCTCTCTGGACTCCAGTGTTGATCTATTTCAGTTCCTCCGTCATACTTGATCTTCTTCACTTTGGTCTGAACCACCAGGAAGTGGATGTACATCTCAGTCAGGGTGCTGGGCAGCTCTCCTCCCTCTCTGGTCTTCAACACATCCTCCAGAACCGTAGCAGTGATCCAGCAGAACACTGGGATGTGACACATGATGTGGAGACTTCTAGATTTCTTCATGTGGGAGATGATCTTACTGGCTCGCTTCTTATCTGTGAATCTCTTCCTGAAGTACTCCTCCTTCTGTGGGTTGTTGAACCCTCTGACCTCTGTCACCATGCCAACACAGTGAGGAGGGATCTGATTGGCTGCTGCAGGGCGTGTGGTTATCCAGAGGAGAGCAGAGGGAAGCAGTTTCCCCCTGATGAGGTTTATCAGCAGAACATCCACTGAGGTGGACTCTGTAACATCAGTCAGGATCTCCTTGTTGGTGAAGTCCAGAGGAAGTCGACTCTCATCCAGACCATCCAAGATGATCAGAACCTGGAAGTCTTCAAAGCTGCTGATTCCTTTGGTTTCAGGGAAGAAGTGATGAACAAGTTCCACCAAGCTGAACTTTTTCTCTTTCAGCACATTCAGCTCTCTGAAGGTGAATGGAAATATGAACTGGATGTTGTGGTGGGCTTTGCCTTCAGCCCAGTCCAGAGTGAACTTCTGTGTTAAGACTGTTTTCCCAATGCCAGCCACTCCCTGTGTCATCACTGCTCTGATTGGTTGATCTCTTCCAGGTGGGACTTTAAAGATGTCTTCTGGTCTGATTATTGTTTCTGGTCTGTTTGTTTTCCTGGATGCTGCTTCAATCTGTCTGACCTCATGTTCATCATTGACCTCTCCAGTTCCTCCCTCTGTGATGTAGAGCTCTGTGTAGATCTGGTTCAGAGGGGTTGGACTTCCTGCTTTAGCGATTCCCTCAAACACAGACTGGAACTTCTTCCTTAAACTGGTTTTAAGTTTTTGTTGACTGAAAAACTCTAGATAAAACAGCAAAAGTAAAATCAGGAAGGACACTAAATGATCTTCTTAAGATTATTTGAAAATATATGATTCCATTTCAATAGACATCAGTAAGTCTGTGATTTATCCATTAGGTTCAATCTTTGTAATAATCCTCTTACTGCTCTGCAGAAGGTCAGCCAGCTCCTCCTGCTTCATCATCATCAGAAAGTTCACTGTGATCTTCACCAGTGCCTCTCTGCTGCTCCTCCTCTGCTGTCCATCGTTCCCCTCCAACACCTTCTCATCATCTCTCTGAATCTCTGACCATTTTTGATCATCTGGACACAAACCCTTCTGGATCGTCTTCAGCTCGTTCTTCACAAAAGTGACAATGTTTTCCTCCAGCAGCTGAAAGAGAATAATTTATGAGGAAGACTTCAGACTAAAATCATGGAGCTAAACATCAGAACCCCGTTGGACAAACTGATGGTCCACTGGTCCATAAAGTGAAACATGCAGATGACTGAACAGAACCCATAAAAACTAAATGAGGTTCAAGTACAAACCATAAAGACGGAGTCCAATTGGTTTTGATGCTGCTGGACAAACTGACCCTTGGAAACCAAAGAGTTCTGCTGGTCCATTCTGTGGAATCAGTCAATCAATTAATCAATCAATTTCTCTATTGTCAACAACAATTTAAATTGTAATCAAGATTTCAGATTCAAGAAAAGCACAAATAACACCAGACAAACATTTCGGCAAAAGGAAAACATTGGAGGCTGGAGCCACATGAAATTCAACCTGACATTGGTTGGGGGTTTGAGAAAGAAAGGGCCAAGTCAGTTCTGGGCCCTTCCACTATAGTATCCAGGGGAGTTTTGATAAGGGGAAGGCCGACCACCGGAGTTCAACCACCGCAGCCACCTTCCGATCAGTCGCACATAGCATACGGCTAAGCTCACGACCCTGCTCGTTCACAGCCTTTGTGAGCACGTCAACCGCTCCAGGCAGCCTGATCAATGCCCAAATTTCAGATACATCAGGTGTCCTCCAAATCCAAACAGGAGAAATCCGAGTACCATAAATCCAATAATCGATATCTCTTCCTCATCCTCACTGACAACATTATAAGACACACCATCCTCCAACAGTCTATGGTGTATCCCACGAAGTATGTCCCAGAAGAACAGGAAGGTCCCCTAATCCGTCTTTAAGTAGAGAAAACTTGATCAATTGCATCAAGAGACCAGCTGGTAAGATCCATTGTTTGAATTCGTATTGAATTAATTAAGAGAGGGCTCAGAAAAGACAAGACACAGCAAAGCAGGGACAGAGCAGAGAGTTGCAGGAACAGCAGAAAAATAGGACAGTCTTCCTCAAGAGTCAGAACAGAAAATAAATCGGAAACACCAGGAACAATTAGTTCATTAGTTTTCAACTTTCTGGGTACCGCATGTCTATATTTATTAAAGGAAACTTAGGGTTATGAACTTAGGACAAAAGTAAGAATGTATAGCATGAATTGAACTCCCTAGGATATAGGACAAGAGAGTTTTGTTTGTAGTTCTGTGACGGTGAGGTTAAACTAATTGTGCCCAATATTCTTTTTACAATCTATTTATTTGAGATTGTTGGTGAAACGTATCGGGTTTACTTCCTGTTTTGACTGCTGAGCATTGTTGTTCTGGCTATCTCGCCTGCATTTAATTTTTTTAAAGTGATATCTCTATATCTAAGTACCTGTCCAAAACCACTTTAAAACATAGCGCCCTCTGCTTCGCACTTGCTGCTTTCACACAGATTTAATTCTGGTAGTACGGAGTAGCTAGCCTCAGCTAGCACTAGCTTAGCATCGCCATTGATTTTCTCTCTCCCTCTTCTTACTCTTTTCTAATTCTTTCTTCTTCCTCTCCTCTCTCCTGCTCTCTGTGTTCAGTTATTCCTCTGCCTCCTTTACTGACAATGTAATGTGTAATAAGTGTATTTTTTTAGCTTTGGAGGCGAGGGTGTCATGTGAATTAACATCCAGGCTTCAGACTGTTGAACATCCAGGAGTAAGAGTAGGCCCTCTTTTTAACTGCCCAGAGCTACCAATACCAGCGACAACCCCACGTAACCATCCTCCAGCAGTGCCTGAGCAGCTAGGTAATTGTGTAACGGTATGTAGAAAGCGTAGTCATGTCACTACCACCCCATTCACGTTTCTAACTGATTTAATTTCAATGAACTTAAATTGTGACCTCCAGGTCCCAATTTGGATGGTGCAGCTCTTCTTTCTAGAATTCAGGCAACATTCAAAAGCCTGACCACCCAGGGTGGAGACCAGGAAGCAGCTTCTCTGCTGTTACCCACTCATTACTGTAACCAGACAGTCTCTTGCCCATGATCAAAATCAAATAAATTAGAAAAAATTGTAAAGGAGTAAAGCGTGATAATCTAATTGAAATTAAAATGACATCAATTTGAGGAAAAGTTCAAACAATTAAAGGTGGATTATTTAACATAAGATCTCTTTCTTCAAAAAGTCTGTTAATTACTTGATATGTGATAATCACATTGATGTATGTTGCCTTACAGAAACATGGCTGCAGCAAGAGGATCTTATGAGCATAACTGAGGCAAGTAACTCTAGTTATTTAAATTTTCACATACCCAGAGGTTCTGGGTGAGAAAGAAGTAGCAACAACCGTTAAGTCTGATTTACTGATCACTCCAAAGGCAGTTAATAATTACTTTGAATGATCCACCAGGTCCTAACTCTGAATTGTATTTTCTTTACCCTGGATTTAAGATGAGTTTTCAGCGTTCCAATTTAATATGGTGTTAAATACTGACAGGGTCATTATAGTAGGGGATTTTAACATCCATGCTGACATTAAAGGTGATAGCTTTAGAGCAGCCTTTAATGCTATCTTAGACCTTATTGGCTTTGCTCAAAATGTAAATAGTTTCACACATTCTGATCTTCATACTTACATATGGCATAGAATGTGAAGAAATAACAGTATTTACTCACTCACTGTCCTCTCTGACCACTTTTTAATAACCTTCAGGATTACTTTATCTGAGTTCTCATCCCTAAAATGAAGGTTCCACTTTAGCAGATCATCATGTGTCACTAAACAATACTGCAGAGGACAAAAGTTTGGTTTATTCCCCTTCACCGGTGGATAATTTTGAAAAAGAAAAAAACTTTAAAAGCACTTCTCGCAAGATTGGTTACATAAGTTGTTCAGTCAATCCTAGTGTGAGTTTGAATGACGTCACATGGTCAGGTGGGCTTCTGCATCCTATTGGGTTGCTATATGACCTGTAAGCCATCAGCTTTTAGGAGACACCGTGGGGAAGTGGTTGTCCATGTGACAACCTTAGGAGACATTTACATCCAGGTCATCTGAAACAAGTGGGAGTGTGAAGTAGAAACAGCGGGGCTAGGTTAGTGTCATGTTTGTTATGCTGCCAGTTGCTAATTTTAGTCCCATTCATCTAAATGCATGGCTGTAGCAGGCTTTTCAGATAAATGTTGTGGGATGAAAAGCCAAAGTCCATATTAATATGAAGGGTCCCCTGTTTTTGCAAATCTAACATGATCACCTATTATGACTTTAATGGTAATTCTGTTTTCTTTTCCTGCTATTTTACAATGATCATTATGATCATTAATATCGACAAGGTTATATATTTATTGTGAAATTTATTTAATTGCAAATTGACCATGGAACTTGTAGCACAACACAGATGCTATTTATAATATTTTTGGGGATTTTTGTGTGCACTAGATCTATATTGATTCTTTTGTTAAATGTATTGAATTCAGCACTTGATATTTTTTGTATTGATTGTATGATTGAAACATCGGTTCTGTATTAAACAGGCCAAGTGTTTGCACTTTATAATGGGGAGCTAAAGGATCAGGCCTTGAACAACAATTTGAAGAGTCCAGGCTACTTTCACTGCTTTCCTTGCCAGGATGGTAGGGGGCTCCTTGCAGCCCACAAACACTCTCCCCATTCTTGGGCTGCAATGAACGATAATTTTGCAAATCCTTTAATATGTTGATAATTTGTTTGATTTATCAATTAATAATCAGATAGCTGAAGATTCTTTGAAGACAATATTTTTCCAAAATTAAACCAGATGAAACTCAAACTTTTCCACTTGAGGAGTTCTAGATAGAGCATATTGACAAACATTTTTTTTAATATGAAAAATGTTCACACATTTTTTTACAATCTTGATATATGTACTGCTCTCTGTGGGTTGCTCTGTCAGCTAAAGACACATTTGAGTCTCTATACTTCAGTTAACAATTAATTGATTACTAAATCAGTTCACGATTATTTAAATAACAGAATAATCACGATTAATCTGAGTAATTGTTCCGGCCCTACCCCACTAGTTCTCTGTTCTGATCATCGGCCATACACAAATCTGCCCTACACACAAACTTTTGCACTTTCCCTCCTAGGTTAAAATCTATCAAACCCAACATAAATTTCATGAACTGTGTATGGTTGGGGGAAATAATTTTAAGAACTTTTCTGGAGCTGAGTTGCTTTATTGCATTAAGGTAGGATGGGATGAAAGTGTCATATGACAAACATAACTGCAGCATAAGTTCAGAATATCTGGGTCCTTTAAAAACAAGGCAGCCTAGAACCAAACCTGAACCATGTTTGAAAGACAGCCTCCATGCAAGCCGACATGAAGGCTGCTTTGATTTTATGTTTACATATAATTTCTGTTATCTGACGTTTATAGAAAGGCTACAGCTTGAGCCTCAGAGGATCTACTCAGACTGGATTATGTTCAGGGTGACTACTAGACTAAAGAAACTGTCTGGTGGTGCAACAAGGTGTTTAAGGTTCTCCTTTACATATATGTATAAATAAGCAAATAGATCAGAGCTGTTAAATAGGATGTTGCAGCACCCACAGATCTTGCATCAACATCCAATCTGTCTACTGTCACTGCTGTGGTTCTGGAGAAACTCCAACACACACAAAGCTTCAGATATGAACATAGAAATGTGGTTAAAAAAAAGAGCTGAGTTTACATAAAACTGAGTCTGTTTCCATGGTTATAGCAGTTGGATACAGCTCACCTCTCTGAGGTTGGAGGTCCAGAGGATTTAAAGTCAGTGATATCATCCTTTGACCTGTTACTCTTGAAGGACACACCGCTGGGTTCTGGTTCTGGTCTCTGAATGATCCTGAAAGGAATGACAACACATTCTGTGAGGTTGAGTTCACATCCCAGCAGTAAACTGTATTATGGACCAATCTGAAGCTTCTACAGTCATGGCCAAAAGTATTGAGAATGACACAAATATCATATTTTCAGATGATCTGCTGCCCTCTGGTTTTCATGTCAGATGTTGTCATCACATACAAAAATACAATTGCAATCATATTCTGAGTAACAAAAGCTTTTAATGAGTTAGTGCAGCAAGACAATATTTGTTGACCCCTCTTCTTCAGGACCTCTGCTATTCTCCCTGGCTGCTCTCAATCAACTTCTGGACCAAATCCTGACTGATAGCGTCCATTCCTGCACAATCAATGCTTGCATTTTGTCAGAATTCCTAGGTTTTCGTTTGTCCGTCCGTCTCTTGATGATTGACCACAAGTTTTCAATGGGATTAAGATCAGGGGAGTTTCCAGGCCATGGACCCAAAATCTCTCTGTTTTGTTCCCTGAGCCAGTTAGATATCAGCTTTGCTTTATGGCGAGGTGCTCCATCATGCTGGAAAAGGCATTGTTCATCACCAAACTGCTCTTGTCTGTGGTTGCGCCGGCTGCGGTCTGCTCTTCTTGCGGTCGGGCGCAGAGCGGCTTTTCTGCTCTTGGATTGTTTCTGTGCGTGGTGTGTTGCGCGTTGTTGGCATCGGTCTTGGTGGGGTGGGGCCGCGCTTTTGGCCTGGGGGGCATTTTGGGGGGGGTTCTGCGGTGCTCGCGGCCGGTTCGCGGCGGATGCGCGTGGGCCCTGGCAGTTGGCGTGGACGGCTGTGCGTTTTTCCTTGGTGGCGCAGTCGCGTTGGGTGTTGCGGCCGGTCACCGAGGCTTGGTGCCGGGGCATGTTTCAGGGCTCCTTCAGGCTCCTCGGGGCGCCGGCATGGCGGTGGCTGGGGGGCTCTTCGGCGCTGTCTCTCCTCCTCCCTTGGTGGGGGTCTGATTTCCGGGGCTGGTCCCTCCTTGGTGCCTTCGCTCTTGGGGTCCTTTTGGGCGCCTGGGGCTTTGGGTCTCCCGGCGCTGGACTCAGTGCTCTGGGGGGTGCACCTCTTCGGCTCTCCACAACCACTATTGAGCATTTTTTCTATGGATAAACTTTACATGCACAAGTTCACCCTCACAAACAACTACAGGTGCTAGGCTTCAGGTACTTAGAGATTCACTTCCAAACAGAAACCCCACATTCATATCTTCAGGTAACACAGAGTACATGTCAGATTAATAATACTACTTCAGTGATAGTATCTAGGTGTTACTTTATTGTATCTTGTTCCATGTCTGTTGGTTGTGCTGTTCTTTTTCCATCTTTTTGCACGTGATGAAGCAGACTGAAAATGTTTTATCATTCTCTCCCTTTTATCTCCTCTTTCTTTCATCTTTTCTCCTTTTTTCAGTTTTTCCTTTTCTTCTTCTGTTTTTCTGCTCTACTTACATTGCAGTGTCCATATAAACTTTAAAACTCCCTGCATAATTATAATAAAGCAATTTATATGCATGAAACAAGTGGAGCAGTATGGCAATTGCCGTACCGCTCCACTTGTGAAAGTAAAATCTGTTGGGCTCCTTTTGGCATCAAGACAATTATTGTTATTGCCACATTGCCAGACAGGACACTGTAAAAAAAAAGAAAGAAAAAAGAAAACATGCAAATTGAGCCATTCAAACGGGTCCACCCCTTAGGAATGGGCAGCCGTTTGTATTCTTTGTAAGCCTACAATACCTGATACCTGTCTGTCTTCTTTGTCTGGCTGAATAGGAGAAGTCTTCTGTTCTCCTGTAAAGTGGTTTTACATTCCTTCCCGATGATAGTGGGAAGGAATGAACTCTATCGCTGCATTTTAGTTTTTTCAAAGCTGGAATCGGTGTACCCCCGGAGTATCGGAGTTCTGAATTGAATGCTAATGCTGACTGAGCCTCTCTGAACGATCCACAGTGTGTTACTGTCTGTTTAATTCCTATTTTTTCATTTGTTTAAAGAGTTAAGCTACTATGGTTGGACTGGCTGGCATCATTAGCTCCGAACCAACTGGGTTTCCTGTGCTAGCTGAACTAACCCATTCTGTGCATTTTCGCTATATTTTAATGCATCCCTGAGTCAATTTTGACTGTAAAACAAGGTGAAACTTTACTGTTTTGATTGCATTTAATATTTCTGCTTCAAGGTTATCCACATTTATATGCTGCTATCTTAAAGGGCACATTAAGCCTTAAAACTCGAAAATTCATCAGAGACTCTTAAACAGACTCCTAAAACCCTTGCTTTATTTCCTTTGCTTTTTTTCAGTAGTGTTTAACACTTGCGTAGTTATTGGTACTGTATGATTAGAAGCTAGCAAAGGTTCCACTGTATTTTACCCCACAGTCTTTGGTGTTTATTTTTCACATTGAACGATTTATCACTCAGGCTGGATTCACTCCTCTTTAGCAGCATACGAATAAAGAGAGACACATTTATTTAGTTGGTGATTAATAACTGTGCTGATAGCCATAGAATAGAATACTAAATTGGTGAAAGACAACTGAATTTTTAACAGCTGATCCAAGAGTCCTTCCTTCTATGTAAGAGACTAAGAATCCTAGTAAGTAAGCAAATTAGTTATAATCACTCAACTGACAATAATTAATTGGTTTTACCTTTGATTTGAATGACCTATTAATTAACTATAGCTTCCATTTCTAGTTATTATATATATTTATAATCTTCTGCTAAACTTGCACACAAGAAACATGATATAATGCCCCGAGTCTGATTCCATGGTTACAGCAGTGGGATACAGCTCACCTCTCTGAGGTTGGAGGTCCAGAGGATTTAAAGTCAGTGATATCATCCTTGGACCTGTTACTCTTGAAGGACACACCGCTGGGTTCTGGATGGATCCTGAAAGGAATGACAACACATTCTGTGAGGTTGAGTTCACATCCCAGCAGTAAACTGTATTATGGACCAATCTGGGCAGAACCAGGCTGAACGATGAAACCCAGATTAATTGTCCCCTAGTTAAATAATGGCTCAATTTTTATTGTCTATTAAGGTTTGATGCAGAACAACTCTGGGTAGAAACTGGGGCCCTTATGGGTAACAGACTTTCTGCTACATTAGAACTGATTCTATTGAGACCCTTTAGAGAGTCAGTCAGTAGCAGCATAGAGGGAACAGCTGATTATGCCGATCTGGGTCAGAGTAAAGGTTCTTCCATCAATGTCTGATCAGCCGTCCTTCTTTCTAGGATGAAGGAAGTTGAACACAATAGATGATCTTATAATTATGAGATATTTTCTCATAATTAAAAGACCTGATCTCGTAATTATGAGATAAGTTGTCAGATTTTTTTATTCTTTGGTGAACCCAAGGGTGTAACTTTGAGATAAAAGTTGGTTGGGACGCTCTAAGGGTGGGGGCTGATGGACCTACAGCTACTCAACCCGAACGCTTTCAATATGGTTTATATTTTCTAAAATGAGCTCAAACATCTATTTATTGAATGCTTTACTATTGTTGAGAACACAAGAGAACCACAATACGCTGATATGTATAGTTATAGACAGATGCTTGCGGAACCCGCCGAGCTGCTAATAAATCCTCAAAGACATGTTAAGCATTGTGAAATAGAAATAATGAGGAGTTAGAGCCTGCGAGGATGAGTGTGTGGACATCCCTACATGCAGGGGTTGATGAGAAGGCCAGAAGAGATAAGAATGAGTGGTTGTAGCTCACCCAGCCTGCCTCATGGCATGAGCAGGAGGACGGCTGTTTTGAAATGTTTGATCTGGCTAGTGGAAGATATATTAACATAACAGAAAATGTCCTTGGTGGGGTGGATTGGTTTCCGTGGGAGTGTATGTGTTGGGAGTTGTTGTATATATATGTCTACTGTTCTTGCCCCAGTCAGAGAGCTTTTTCTCTCCATCTGCAGATGTAAAAATAAACTCCACAGCATGCACTAAAATAGCTAGTAGTTCCTTGAATGAAGTGCAGCATCTTTAAGCCTGAAAGAATAATGTTTCTTTGGTATCATAGGTTTAAAGACAACATGTGACCCGCTTCTAAACACATAAAAATAATAAACGATGTAATGTGTATATTTAAATATTCATACATAGTTTAAAGCTTACTAGAATGTGTTGTTTTAAAATCTTTTTCATAATTTGTGTTGTCAGCTGCAAAGGGAATCAAAATTCCACACTTTTGCACCCATGATTGACCCCACAGACATAGAGGATCAGAAGGTCATACCTGCAGATTTTATCCACTGATCTCTAGATGAGTTGGATAACGCATAGCAGAATTAATTAATTTAATTAGAAAGCCTACTGAAAACATTCTGAATACAGATTAACGTTTTAGGCATACCCAGTTGTACAAGACCAAATATCAACTAGAAACTGAAAAGTGAAAAGAAACCCTGTTCTCCAGCAAAAGGTTTTGCCCTCCCCCTCTGAGGACCTTTGCAAGAAACAAAGGCAGCAGACTTTAAATCTTTAAATTCAGGACTTAGAACAGACACAAAGCCTCCAAATTATAAGTTAACACAAATTGCCTCTGAAGACAAAGGCAATGAAAGTCTCAGTATCGCTGCAAGCTTAGAAAAAATGGGTGATACGCAGAACCAACCGGACCTCCTGCCTGTTGTTTTGTGACACCAGCTTCAGTGCACAGTTATCAATCTGATCGCAGTGAGACAGTTACCCTGTTTAAAACTCTCACATGCTGTGTGGTGCTCGTTAAACATTGAGAAACTTTACTCTGCTATTTGTCTTTGTGCACTTAGCTCTGTGTCTGCTGAACACTAATCATTATCAACATATACCTAACTCTAACCCATAAACTGAATTAACACCCTAAATCTAAACCTAACCCAAACCAAAAAAATAACTTTTCCATTAGGGGACCGGTTGAATGTTCCCATAAGTGCCTGCAAGTCCCCACAGTGTACCTATAAGTCCTCAGAATGTAGCATATTCCTGGGAAATCATCAC